AGTGATACTGTTACAATGAATTGGCTAGATCACACTCTCCTCAAAAGCCTCCAGTGCTGCTCATCTCAGTGCAAAAGCCACCATCCACAAGTCTCCATGTGATCAGACCAACACTTTGCCAATTTGCTCCCTTTGCTCCTGCCAGTCTGGCCTTCCTTGCTGTCACCTATACTCCTCTCTCAAAGCTCTGAACTTGCTGCCTTTGCCTGGAACCCTCCTCTATAGAGATCCACAGTACTTCCTCCCTCACCTAGGTGTGAGCTTTTCAGTAAGAACTTCTCTGGTCATGTTACAAAACTACAACAGCCCTCCCCCCACATATTTCTACCTCAAGGAATTATCATGATTTGATGCTTTACATATTGTCCTTTGTTTTCTTTGCCTCTACCTTCTAGAAGCCAACCCCGGGAGATCCACATTTTTAACCTGTTCTTCTCATCATATCTCCACCCTCTAAAACCGCCTGGAAACAAAAGGCACTGAAATGTTTATTGAAACAGATCTTCAGTCAATTGGTCACAACTTAAAAGTCTAAGAACCCTACATATTAGCAAGTATGGGAACACAAGGAACTATAGCTTGTCACTACTTGTATAGAGAGCAACTTGGCAATAGCTAAAAAGTGTAGGCCGGGCATGGTGGCACATGCCTTTAATCCCAGCACTCGGGAGGCAGAGGCAGGTGGATCTCTGTGAGTTCGAGGCCAGCCTGGTCTCCGTGATGAATCCAGGACAACTGGAGCTACAGGGAGACCCTGTCTCAAAAAGACCAAAAAAAAAAAAAGTGTAGGGTGTGCCCACCTAAAAAACTAACAGTAGGGCTGGGGAGATGCCATTCAATAAAGTGCACAAGCATGAGGACCTGAGTTCAGATCCTCAGCACCCATTTAAATAAATAACTAGGCATGTCAGCATTTACCTGTAATCCCAGTGCTGGGGAGGCAGAGACAAGAGGATCCCTAGGGCACGTTGGCCAGTCTAGCCTATCAGTGAGTTCCAGGTTCAGTGAGAGACTCTGTCTCAAAAAATAAGGTGAACAGGCTGGAGAGGTGACTCAGGATTAAGAGCACTTGTTCTTCCAGAGGACCCAGGTTCGACTCCTAGCACCCACATGGCAGCTCTGTTGCCCTCTTCTGGCCTTCGCAGGCACTACACATGTATCAGTACACATCAGTCATCAAAATACTTGTACAAATAAAAATAAACAAATCACTTTAAAAAAATGTGGAGCAAGATAGAGGAAAATACCCAACATCAACCTCTGGCCTTAGGCATGTGTATATACACACACACACACACACACACACACACACACAAAAGACAAAGTTAGCAATATTTTTAGGAGTTGTATGTTAACTTACAGTAGTAAGAAGAGGGGCTGGAGAAATGGCTCACAGGTTAAGAACACTGGTTGCTCTTATAGAGGACCCAGGTTCGGTTCCCAGCACCCACCCAGCAGCTTACAACCAACCATAACTCCAGTTCAAGGGGATCTGACGCCCTCTTCTGACCTCTGTGGGCACCTGCATGACATGGGTGCATTTACATACACATAAAATAAAAATAGTAGGGCTGGAGAGATGGCTCAGTGGTTAAGAGCACTGACTGCTCTTGCAGAGGACCTAGGTTCGATTCCCAGCACCCACATGGGGGCTATGAATCATCCTTAACTCCAGTTCCAGGGGAATCCGAAGCCCTCTTCTGACCTCTGCAGCATTGCACAAGAGAGGTGCATTCACATACATGCAGGCAATACATTCATACACATAAAATAAAAATAATAAAATATAAAAAAATAGTAAATAAAATATTTTTTAAAAGAATAGTATAGTCAGAATCACTTTAAGGGTCTGGGACTGTGTATTTCTGGAAGATACTCTTAAAATTTTATAATCAGAGAATGAAATATAACCCTCAACAGTAAACCAACACAGCCATACTGCAATGGGTATTAAAAAAAAAAATCATGCTACAGTGAGAGGCTGATAAATCAGCAGCGTAGAAAAGAAATGTAAGAACATAGCAAAGAGATGACAATCACAGTCTCCTAAGAAACTAATCAAAGATAATCAAACCATTTGAGAAACAAAAAAAAAAAAATCAGTACACAGACAGATTACTCGAAAAATACAGAGAACATGCCAGGCTTTAAGTTATATAAGGAAAATGCTAATGGTAATAACCCAAATCATAAGCCAGTGGACATGCCTGCTCGGCTAGACTAGGATTTTTAATTAAATTCAAACATTTATGCAGTATCTCTTATTGCCAGATGCTCTCTGAATAACTTACGACACAATTGATTGCATTAAATCCACATGCAGCACAGAAACTATTGCATTACTTCAATTTTCTCTTCCAAGATCTTTTAGCCAAATAGTTGATAAGAATTGAAACTAGCCAGTCATATTCTATCTCCGTTTCCCTTCTACCCTGAATAAAAAGTGCTCATAAACCCATTGGCCAAAATGCAGGTAACAAGATGGAAGTACTCATCATTTGACTGGCAGAATTATTTCGCGTTCCAAGTCCTTGAATAGTAAGAATGGAATGCCATTTGCAAACTTATATCTAAAAGGGCTGTGCTATATGCAACATCAGTTAATGACACCACACTGAATCTTACACTTCCAGCACACAATTTAATACCTAATTATTTCCTACTCAGAATAAGTTGAGCAATTAAGTGGAAAAGAATGCATCATATTATCATTCTTAGTCAAGTATAGGCCTTCAAAAATATAAGCATAGGCCACTCTGAGTAAAGGCACTTGCTGCCAATCCTGACGACCTGAGTTTGATCTCCAGGACCCACATGATACAATGGGAGAACTACCTCCTCCAAGTTGTCCTCTGACCTTCACACGCACACAGTGACATGCACTCACACACACATACACACACATACTATACACATGCACTCTAAATAAATAAATGTGATAAGAATTTAAATATAGGCATAAGAAAAAGAAGAGAGTAGAACTCCATAGCAACATAGAAGTTGTGGGAAGAAGGAATTCAAAACCAACTGTTCCTCACATTTTCATCCTTGATGTATCTTTGATGTGGCAATAGTTTTTATTAAGGTGATTCACATATTGCTATAAGGAAATAATACAGAGAATTTTCTCACATGCATTACCCTATAATGATAACATTTCATAAAACTACTATACCTCAAAACCACCAGGATAGTGACATACTGACATTTATATCATCCACCAATCTTATTCAAATTACCCCAATTTCATTTGAACTCATTTGCATGTATTAAGTATGTATGTATATTAAATCCTACACAGTTTTGTCAATATGCATTCCTGTATCTTGCCATCTGCCAAGATTCTAAACAGGATCAGCACCACAAAGATTATCATGTTGCCCTTTTACCCCACCTCCACCCTCCCATCTCTGACTCCTAGTAATACTAACATACTCTCTATTTATCTGTGACACTGTTATACTGCACCCTAGTACAGACTCTGTTCACCTTGGCACTTCTTCACAACTGCTGTTATTACAGTTCTGCTTGACATCAGTCAAAGTGGAATCAATTTTTTCTTCTTTTTTTAATATTTTATTTTTATTTTATGCATATGCGTGTATTGCCTGAATGTAGGTAAGTGCACCCATGTCGTGCGGTGCCCGCGAAGGACAGAAGAGGCTGTCAGATCCCCTGGAACTGGAGTTACAGACAGTTGTTAGCTGCCATGTGGGTGCTGGGATTCGAACCCAGGTCTTCTGCAAGAACAGCCAGTGTTTTTAACCACGGAACTATCTCTCCATCCCTGATCAATTTTCTAAAACAGCTGGCCATGGAAGGAATGACTTAATATTGATGATACTGAATTTTGCTGCTATCATTGACAGACTATCCAAAAGCAGAAAAGTTTTGTTGTTCAGATGTATGGGCTCTAATATGTGCATGCCTATTGATACACAGATTTCTGGGTATAAAAGAACCTATTTTCTGGAACCCTTGCAAAGCTCCATATAAACATAAGCACTGATGCCTCTAAAACCAAGAGCAGGGCATGCAAGATGGCTCGGAAGGTAAAGATACTTCCCGTGCAGGCCTGGTAACCTGAGTTAAATCCCCAGAACCCATGTTACAGTAGAAGAGGAGAATCAATTCTACAAAGTTGTCCTCTGACCACCACAGAGGAACCATGACACGAGTCCCATACACACATCATGCACACACACACACACACACACACACACACACGTCCAATAACAATATTTTTTTAAATTATTCAAGGACAATAATATTTCTGAAACTACCAAATGTAGAAGGGCAAGGCTCAGCATTTTCTCTCATCTGACCATCTCAGAACTTTTCAGTCATTCTATGCCTGTACATGGGAACTCTGATTTCCAGTTACAGAAATCTGGTTCTTTCCTTGAAAACCATTAGAAATAGTATCTTTTGGGGGCTGGAGAGATGGCTCAGCAGTTAAGAACACTGACTATTCTTGCAGAAGACCTAGGTTCGAATCCCAGCACCCACATGGCAGCTAACAACTGTCCGTAACTCCAGTTCCAGAGGATCCAACAGCCTCTTCTGTCCTCCACAGGCACTGCACAACACGCGTGCACTTACCTACCTGCAAGCATAACACTCATACACATAAAATAAAAATAATAAAATATTAAAAAAGAAAGAAAGAATATCTTTTACTTCAATTTAAAATTCACAGAATGAAAGATGAACCACTAGTTATAAAAATGCAATTTAAGTCTGGGAGATGTCTCAGCATGCAAAGGCCCTTGCTGGGCAAGCCTGCCAACCTGAGTTAGGTCCCTGGAAACACAAAAAGGTGGAAGTAGAGAACCAACTCCACTACGTTATTCTCTAACCTCCACATGTGTACCATGGCATGTGCCCACACACACATGTACACACAATAACAAATACTTTAAATGCAATTTAAAAAGTAACAAGGTATCTATGCACTTTTCCCAGCTCTAGGCAGCATGCATGCAACTGGAGTTCACTACCTGCAGAGCTCAGGAGGACGCTGAAGTCTGTTCCGCGCTGTGATTCTCCGCTTTCATCATTGATGTCTTTTTCAGTATCTTGGTATCGATCCCAGTTTGAGACGATTTTCCTTTTAGAATAATTTCCCTGTTCATCATTCTCTTCTCTATAGGTCTCTGAATCACTGTCATCTTCAACCTGCAATCATTAGAGACAAATCAATAAGTAGCCAGTGGAAATCTCTACCTTAGAGTAAAATGAACAAAGTAATAGTATACAGGTATGACAATAAAAAGTAAATTTATAAACCAAACTGGTACACCTAAGCAATATTTCCAAAGAACTGTTCTTTCAGAGTAAACTTTTCAGTGAGCACCTTCTGGAAAATTCTGCCTGAACCCATGGCCATGTATAATAGTTGTTTCATCTAATTAAAATAATCAAGATAAGGGGTATTGACCAAATGTTTCAAAGGGTTTAAAAGCACTTGCTGCACACACTTAGAGACCTGAGTTCAATTCCAGGAACCCACACAAAGGTGGAAGGGATCAACTCCACAAATTTGTTCTGTGACCTCCACACATGTGCCATGGCACACATGCCTCCCTACAATAATAATAAATATTTTAAATGACTTTAGAATGGAAATCAACTCTTTAAATTTATTGATTTTTACAAACATATTCCACAAATATGTTTCATACGCCTTAAATAGGAGCCCAACTCAGATGCATTCTAGAGGCATTTTCAGTCTTGGGTATTAAAAGAAAGGATGCAGAGAACAGTAGATCAGAATTTAATTGCTTTAAGAAATAAATTGTGGCCCAGGCGTGGTGGCACACTCCTTTAGTCCCAGTCCTTGGAAGGCAGAGGGAGGTGGAATTCTGTGAGACTGAGGCTAAGCCTGGTCTACATAGCAAGTTCTAGGCCAGCTGGGACCACAGAGAGACCATCTCAAAAGGAAGAAAGGAAGGAAGAAAGAAAGGGAGGGAAGGAGAGAGGGAAGGAGGGTGGGAGGGAGCCAGTGAGATGGCTCAGTGGGTAAAAGCATAAGCCTGCCAGTCTCAGTTCGATCCCCATAGCCTAAGGTGGAAAGAATCCACTCCCAAAAGTTGTCTGCTCACCTCCACATGTGTGCTTCGGCATGCACACACCTGCACCTATATACAAACATCATACACACACATAAAAATATAAATTTTAAAAAAGAAAAATGGTAGAAGAGAAATCTATAGATTAAAAGAGCTTAACAGGCTGGGGGTATAAATCAATGGCAACATCCCCCCCTTTTAAAAAATTGAATGGTCTCACAACAGTTGTAAGGTTAAGAACTTATGTATATACCCTGATTCAAACCATCTAGCCAGAGAAAGTGATAACTATGAGACAATTGAGGAAATGTAAACAATGACTACACATTTGATTATATTAGGGATATACTAGTAATTTTATTTACTGTTTGGTATATAAATTACATTATGAATTTTTAGTGTTCTCATATTTTAGGTATAAATATTCAACTATAGTTTAAAAGATAATTATACATTATTTTGTTTTGTTTTGTTTTAGAGAGAGACTCTTAGCATGGACCCCAGGTTCTCCTCAAATTTGCATTCTTCATGCCTCAGCCCCTCAAATGCTGAGATTATAGGCATATGCCACCACACACAGACTACTTCTAAACCCACACACAGAAAAAAACTTCTTCTATAACTTCTTTTTCCCAGCTAGTACCCAATTCAAGACTATGCATTATAACTGATCACTTATCTCCTACATCCCTTGAAGCTAGCACAACCCATACACACACACACACACACACACACACACACACACACACACATTTTTGACTTCTTGAGACAGGGTCTCCCTACAGCCCCAGCTGGCCTAGAACTCACTATGTAGACCAGGCTGGCCTCAATCTCACAGAGATCCACCTGCCTCTGCCTCCTGAGAGCTGGGATTAAAGGCATGCACTACAAAGCCCAACCCACAACCCCTAATTTTATAATGTCTATTTATTGGCAAGGCCAGGCCAGGCAGCATGTTTAGTTACTTGTTTTTCTTAAGTTATTCATAAATTTTGTCTTTTTTTTTCTGTCTTTTTGAGACAGGGTCTCTCTGTAGCCTTAGCTGCCCTGGAACTCACTATGTAGACCAGGCTGGCCTTGAACTCACAGAGATCCATCTGCCTCTGCCTCCCAGTGCTGGGATTAAAGGTATGTGCCACCACACCCAGCATAGTTATTCATAAATTTTTTTAACTTCCAATATTACCTATACACTGTTCCTTAAAAACCTAAATGCTCAGCTAAGTATTTCTTGGTTAACATACATCATACACAATGCTCTGAACACTGTATCACATCAGTCGATAGATAAATGGAAATCCCAGCATAACTAACACTACAACTGATCAAAGGGTTTTGATGATGAGGTCTCACCTACTCACTGTTCAGATATGTCTTCCCTATTTCCATGTAGGAAATTCCTATACAGTTATTTTGCTCTTCTGTAAGTCTGTTCCCCATCAACCATTCACCCAACAAATTTCACAAGTCAATAATCCTCACTGAAAGAAATTTCATAAACTTTCCTGAAAGGATGGACTAATTGGCCTTTCAAGATCACTTTCAGCCTTCAAATATCATAAAGCTCCTTGTGAAAATGAGAAAATGGACATTTATATTAAAATCAAGGTATTAAAAACATGGCCTGAAACCTAGAGGTTTCCTGCCATCCCCACAAAATACCCACCCAAAAGATGCGACTGATAAAAAGTAGGAAAGTGAAATCTACCTCATAAATTACTGATATCAGGAACTTTCTAAAGAAATGCACTTTCCAATTGATGAGAACTTAGGGGCTAGAACCTGAGCTGAAAATATTAGCAGGGTTTAATCTGGGAAAATCCAATATTCTTTTGTTGTCCACGGAGAAAAGCTGCACCAGTTAGTGTGAAATCTCTATACAGCTTAAACACGTGGTGAAAATGTGAACCTGGGCAAGATAATGATCTTGATCACCTGACAGCAAAATACTGCAGTGAAACAAGCCCTGGAATGAAAGGCAGGAGACCCAGAGAGAACTGATGGGCCAGCCCTGCCACCACCACCACCCTCTAGTCACTGTTCATAACAGGCTGGGCCTTCTGCACACTCCCAAGTCAGAGGTGTCCCCAAGTCAGGATCTCATTGCTCATACAAAACGCAAGGGCAGGAAGAGCCTCTGTCACAGGTGACTAGAAAGAAGTCAAAGTTCCAAGGGCACCTTATGTGACTTGGAGATCGTAGTTGGGTCATTATACAAACATCTGGGACAAATGAGAACTATGTAAAGCCTCAGGATAGGATGCAACAAGTAAGAATTCTGTTGAAAGCAGTATTACATAAAGATGTCATTTTTATGCTGACATCATTTCAAAACTAGATTGATAATTTTCACTGTAATATTTTACACCGGGACACTGGTCATTGGTTGTAGTGTTCATAAAGGGACTCAGTTGGGTTACTTATGAACAAAGTACTGTTGAGCTATTGTCCTGCCCAGTGAGAACACAAACCAGAAGATCCACTTACGCCAGAGGGAGGGTCTCAACTGAATGAGTAATGTTCTGCAGTTCTAACAGGCAAGAGCATTTGACTTCACCTACTCTACAGAATGGAGGTGGGAAAAATTCTTCCATGAACAACTCAGATGGACAATCTAAAACTCTTGATCGAGGATGAAAATCTAGAGCAAGAAATATGGAACCCTGCATCTAAATGCATTCATGCAAATATGGATCAGTCTGACATAGTTCAAACAGCCTTCTCAAGACTGAAAAACAATGTTTGTGCCCATGTTCCAGATAAACGATTTATACGTGGGTATACACATACACACAGTTTCCTTTTTACATTCAAGGTTCTAAACCACTATTTTTCTAAATAGTCTTTTCTTATCAAGGTATTTGCCAAAGTATTCCCACCTACTGAATCCATCTTCTTCACAAATGTACCCGCTCAGTCCACCTGTTCATCAAAAAGTCTAAACTGAGTGTCCAACTCTCTCCCCACAAAATGAAACAAAGCAAAGCAACCCCCACCATATGCCATTTCACACAGAACAGAGTCCTCATCCTGTTCCAATAAAGCTAAGCAGTTTTTCCAGCACAAGTGTCATCTCATCAGCTACTTTGAATGGTCTATCACTTCAGATGTTTCATGAGGTCCCTGTTGCCATGTAGCTATCAATTCTACTAAGACGCCGATTAGCAAGGTAAGTGGTTTCAGTAAGCCTAAATGTCTAAAACTATTAAAAACTCAGTTACTTGGCAACTATTCTAGCAAAGCTTTCAAAATAAGAATTGTAATGTCTTCTTGAAGTTCTAATGTATGTTGATACACTTCAACCAATGTTTGAAATGCATTTATCTGAGTACTGATTTACTGGGTTTTGTGTTTATTATTTTTATTTTATGTGTGTGAGTATATTGCCTGAATGTATGCAAGTGCACCCATGCCATGCAAGCCCTCGGGGGCCAGAAGAGAATATCGGATCCACTCGAACTGGAGTTACAGGCAGCTGTTAGCAACCATGTGGGTTCTGGAAATAGAACCTGGGTCCTCTGGAAGAGCAGCTCTTAGCTGCTGAGCCATCTCTCCAGCCCCAGATTTATTGTTATTTTTTTTAGACAGTCACTAAGTAACCTAGGCTGACCACAAACTTCCTGCCTCAAGCTTCCCAAATGTTGGGATTACAAGCATGCACTACCATGCCTGCCAGGTTTCAATTCTTCAAAATATTTTCAGTACTGGAGATTTACTCTAAGGCCTCACTTATGCTAGCTAAGCACCCTAACAGTGCACTGTATCCATAGTTCTATTTTTAGTTTTTATGTTGAAGCATAGTCTCACTAAGACACCCAAGCAAGCCTTGAACTTTTAATTTTCCTACCTAGTCATGAGCAGCGAGGATTACCAGCCTGCACTACCAGATCTGACTGGGTTCTTCTTTTTTCTCTTTAAAACCATTTTTCAATGTATCAGATTACAGATTTACCATTAGGTAATACTCTCATTTTTTTTTGACAGGGTACTGCTACGTAGTCCAGGCTGGCATAACTCATTATGTAGACTGGCTTCAAATTTATAGCAATTCCCCTGAGTGCCATCATACCCAGCTTCCTTTTCTATTTTAAAGGCAGAGATTTTGCT